AGACCCATAAAGTGAGCTTTAAATTCTTTTTCAGGTTCCACAACTGAAGGATCAGGTTAGGAGTGCAAAATCATCTCCCTAGAAGCAAGGACTTGTGTGATGGCGCACAGAGCTGGACCCGGAAGACTGTTTTGGAGGTTCCTGACCACTTTTCAGGTGATACATGAAGAGCACATGAACTGAAGAGGAGGGGCTCCTGCCTCTCTGCTTCAGAAGGATCATGATTACAATCTTTTTTTTTTTTTTTTTTGGTACCGGGGATTGAACTCGGGTCCATGTGCTTGCAAAGTGGGTCACTGAACCACTGAGCTAAATCCCCAGCCCCTTTGATTACAATCTTTAACTAAAGTTCTCACCTCCTACTAGATTGCATTTTGCTTCTCCCCTCATACAATGTTAACAACCTTTCTTTGGATTCCACACTGACCTTCAACTTGGTGTTGCTGACAGTCTGCAGAGCCATGTAATAAGGCTCTGTGACACTAGAATAAGAAGAACCTTCTTTCAACTTTGCAATCACCCTCTCCAGTTCCTAAGAAAGATGCACACATGCATGGCTGCTGTGCAGAGACAGTGTGGTGTGGCAGAAGCTCAGGGTTCCTGTGAAGGGCCATGCACAAGGGTGGGGATGTTCCCCCAATCCAAAAGTTCACTGCCTTTGTGAGTTTTGTTATTTTTCCATTGAGGTCTTCTCTGGTGCCTGTGATATGCTTATCCCTGGAACTTCCTCTGTCCCATAACTAAGCCTGGTCTTAAATGCAGACCAGCAGAGAATGCTGTGCAATTTGCCAGCAGAGTCATGTCAATGAGTAAATCATTTGAATACTTCCCTCTCACTTGGAAGAGGTCTGCAGCCCTGAGGATACCAAGGACCTTCTCCCAGATCTAACTGTCCTGACCATCTGACAGTTCCTTCCCTAGACCCTTTTAAATGTCTCTATCCTTCCAGTAGTGAAGGGCGTAACCTGGTCGGGCAGAGACCCCCAGGACCCTGCCTCACCTTGAAGCTCTCCACCTGTTTTCTTGGTTATTGCCTGCCCCACCCCTAACAGGTTGTTAAACACTGCAAGCATCACCTCTATTATACAGCAAAAAGGTAGACATTCCAGCACACATTAGGTAATGAATACAGGGCACGGGAATAATTTTTGTGTCATCAGATTTAAGAGGTAACAATTCTCAGTGGACTAAAAACAACCTCGGAAAATAGAAGAAACTGTAAGAAATCAACTAGTCAACCTCTGTCTAAAATCAATGACATAAGTCAGCTTCTGTCTGAAAATATTAGTGAAAAATTCTAGAATAAGCAATTCTTAAGTTTTAAATTCCATGTAGTTCTGAGTGTTGGTGTGGTGAAATCTGGCACTGTCCTGCTCCAATCTGCTGGGGGTATGAATCATCCCTCTGCTGACATGCCCACCCAGCATGCACTCCCACGTGCTGGTCTTGGTTATCGGAGTGACTATCACAGTATAGAAGTGGTTTATTTTCATATAACCTGATTTTACCTAATAATGGTGTGAAAATGCAAGAGCACTGATATTGACAATTTAGGTACACCAAGGTGAGAAGCTTAAAGTACTTAGGGAAAGGAAAAAACATTACATGCCAGGATTGCTAAAATCTGTGTCCAGTTGCTAATCTCTTACTGTGCCTTATTTATGAATTAAACTCTATCATCAATATATGTGTATAGAGGAAAAAATCATAGTACATTGTAGGATTCAGTGTTATCCATAGCTTCAGACATTCACTGGGAGACTTGGAATGCATTACTGACAGACAAGAGAGGACCACTATAATTTTATAATAGTGAAAAAAACTTAGAATATATTTTATCTTAGTGTAAAAAGATAGAATACTGAAAATTGTGTCTTATAGATATATTACACCAGAAGAATCAGAGATCAGTGACTAAACCTTTTATTTCCTGAAGGCTGAATAGTAGTAGTCAGAACTGCATACGCATCCTGGCAGCTTTGAACGTTCACTAGGATGTGTCAAGGAATTCATTTACAAGTGACATGTACTTTTAGGTGGCAATATATATAGTATATTTAGATTTCCCCTTAGGCCCTGCTTTTATGTGACAGTCCAGCTCCTTATCAAGCACTTTCACCTTGCTATTCATTTGGATTGGAATTACTCTCAGAAAATGACTTTTTGACTCCATGGCATTCTGCTGCATTGTAAAGATTTGGACACTGTGTCTTTATTCCACAAAATGGTTTAGCAATTTAATGTGAATATTTTTCAAAGCAGGGTGAATTATCTACATATAAAAAGATTCTAGAAAAAAAGTCTTCAAATTAAAAAAAAAACTAATACTAAACTTTAGAATTTAGTATATATATATTTATATATATATATATATATATATATACTTTCTAAAAAAGTACTTGTATTGATACATTTTAGATATACATAATGATCACATTCATCATAGGGAATTTGTATCTGCACATGGTATATCTTGATTCTTTTTTCCCCGATACTCTCCCCTCCCTTGAACCCCTCTTCCCCTCTTTATTTACAAAAGTTTTGTTTCTATTCTATTTTCTTCTATTCTCTTTTTTCTTTTCCCTTTCTTCCTTTTCCCTTCCCCCTCCCTTGTTCCCTCCCATTTGAATGTTTGTTTACTATTTCCCAATTTTGGTTCTTATTTATCCTTTGTTTCTCATATCATGAAAACAATGAAAAATCATAAAACAAATGGAAATATTTTCGGAAAATTAACAGACACATTTTCTAAAAGAAGATTTAAACATACACACATATCTTACTACACTTTCATATGTAACTTCTAGATTGGAGAAAGAACAAAGAATAAGGAAAGACTAATAAATCTGTATGGATAAACAATAGTAAGTTATACCTATGCATATAAATCAGATTTTCCATTTCACCTTAAAGGATATTCCTTGGCATTTAGGTACAGTCTTTTGTTTGAACTCAGGGCCAAGTTTAACTTTTTGAACTAGAGTCTACAAATTTTTTCAAATTTTTTCTATGGTACTCTTCATACTTTCTAAAAAATGTGCTCTAAAATACCATTTAAAATTTTTGTTTTGTGTTTTTTTGGTAACAGGGATTGAACTCGGGTCCTTGCGCTTGCAAGGCAGGCCACTGAACCGCTGAGCTAAATTCCCGGCCCCATTTAAAATTTTTATATATGCAATTTAAAGAGTAACAATTAATCGGCTGATCAAATAAGGTAAGACCACTACATCAGTAACCTTAAGTGAACCATGCCTCCTGATACCCTTTCCTTTCTGTACCTTCCCCCACGTTGACTTTGGGTTTGTCCATATGTCTTACTGCAGCCAGTGATACCATAATAACAGAGTGAGGGCTTGAAAAATGTTTATATGCTGAGACTTTTCTTAGAATTCAGCTCCTATAAGAAAGACTATCAAGATTTCTGCAGAACAATAAGCCATCCAGAAGAGAATAGGAGCTGAAAGCCGGCAGCAGACAGTTTTGTGAGGTCTCCTTACTTGTCTCAGTTCTGGTAAAGCCTGGTTAAAAGGCTCACCTGAGTAATCCAGTGTCAAATGAAGCCAGGGCAACTACTTAGCTGAGTCTTGCCCAAATTCCTTGCCCACAGAACTCTAAGCAATACCTTGGTACTATTTTAAGTACAGTAAATCCCCAACTTACTAACATTTGATTTGCAAACTTTCACAGATACGACCAGACCTTGCATTTCTCATAGATGAAAACAAACTGTGGAAGTAGCTCACTTGTCTCCCAGACATTGTCACAGTTGTGCTGCTGGGTGTTCACTGCACAGTGTGATAGTGTACAGTAGTACAGTGCTCAATCATAAGCAAGCGGAAAAGTGATGGTAATGTGAAGGGAACTGCCAGGAAGCATAAAGCAATAACCATCGGAACAAAAGCGAAAAACCAGCATTGCACTACACCACTATTTAAGGTAACTGTAAAAGTAAAAATTGTTTATGCATAGTATTTTTGTGTATGTGTTTAGATTTTTAATGCTTTACATTGTATATTTGTGTCAAAGGTGTATAAAACTCACTTTGTAGGACTTACAAATGAATCTGACTCACAAATGTTCTCCCAGAATAAAACTCATTCATAAGTGAGGGACTTACTGTAATTAACTTTGGAGTAATCTGTCACATAATGGACACTGTAGGTGATAGATAACAGATATAGTAAATGATAGCAAGGTTCTTTCTAGAAAGAAACAATTCCAAATTGCATTCTTTACTTACATGATCCTCTTTTATTTCCTATTTGTTTGTTATTGAGCCTACAGCTCTTGTTCTAACTAACAAGTGGGGATGAAGAACAGAGATGCTTAGTTTAGATGAAAAGTGTGGTTTGTAGTGGCTGCACTATTATTTTGACCACAACTAAATGGCAAGAACTTCATAGGTCTCAAAGGAACAGCACTCCTGTTATGCTGTGAATTGTAAATGTAGTCTCCTACACACTGTGGTCAAACCATGGGTTGGACAATCTGCTGGAAAAGAATCTCTGGCATGTATGCCTTCTATGGTCTAATCAAAGCAATTCTCTTCTCTGTTTCTTCATGTAGGATTGTATCCTAATACAATGTACTAAGAGTTGCTTAAGGAATTTGATCTTTAAAGAGTAATTATTTGAAATGTGATGGTTACTAGGTTTTCATCCTTCTTTCTTTGGAACTAAAGTGCATTAGCAGAAGAGTGCATTAGGAACAGAGCTTAAAGTAACTAATGCACAAGGCACCACTTGTGGGAGATTGTGATGTTCATGAAATAGTATTAATTGTACCTCAAGTTAGAAACTAGACTAAAGCAACTAACTGGTTCTAAACAAAATTCCTGAATACAAAGAAGAAAAAAAATGTAACCTGTCTATATGTGTGATTAATGATTCCACAATTGCTATTTCTACTGCTAATCTGTGGCTCTATCTCCCTTGTATGTAGGTACAAAATGCCAGTAAGGAATTGAATCAATCAGACGATAACACAAAAGTGACACTTACAGAAAGTAGTATTTGGACAGCACTGTGGATGACCTCTAGGTATTGGAAGTCGACGACACAGCCCGTGACAGAGACATATGTATAGTCATCTATCATGCCATGGGCTGATGGAGGCAGCACTCTCCGGACACAACCAGGCCCATGCTCCCGCCACCATGACCGGTGTACAGAGATATTGAATGTCATCAGGTCTGTATCCTAGACGGACGGGAAATAAGAGAGCAAAAAAAGAGTCCTATTACATCACATCTTTGATTTGACTTTGAGAAGACTTCAGAATGGATGAAATTGCTGACATGATGTCAGTTTTAAAATGACAAGGAAAAATGACAAAGTCAAAAAGAGCTACATGTATCATATGCCTACACCATCAGGTTATTATTTTTCAATGTAGAGATACAATCATGTGAATAATAGTAATATGTTAAAGATAGAACACAGCAAACATCCAGAGGTGAGACCCTCCATATATGTTTATTAAAAAATTATTGTGCTTATTTTGAAATCTTTTGCTGCATTTTTCTTATTATACCATTGTCAATAGCATGATCATTATCATTGCAGGTTCACATTTACCAAGTGCTTTATTGCATGCTAGACGTTGTTCTAAATGAATTTCATATATAACAGCTGTCCCTGGATATCCAGAGAAAATTAGTTCTAAGATTTCTTGTAGATGCCAAAACCTATATATGCTCCAGTCCCTATATAAAATTTGCATATAACTACACATATTCTTCTATTACCTTCAAATTTTCTCCAGATTACTTACCATTCTTAGCCAAATGTAAGTACTGTGTAAATAGTTGTTATACTACTCTATTACTTTGTGAATAATAAAAAAGTTCTCACATATTCATTATAGGCACAAATTTTTCTTATTTTATTATCTTCAACCATTGATTAGTATCCATAGATATGAAACCCCTATATCTGAAAAATCTGTCTGTATATCCTTTAATGGTTCTCTGATCAATGTAGTTTATTGTAGATTGAATAATCATTTCTATAGCTATATTTACACCTAATCCTTGGAATTTGTGTATTTTATGTCATATGTCAAATTAAAGACTTTCCATCCATGATTATATTAAGGATCATAAAATTACCGAGGATTATCTAGGTAGGTTCCAACTGCAAAGACATGTTATTGGCCACTGGAAGGGGGAAGAGACAATGATTCTCTAAAGTTTGAGGGAAAGCATGGCTTTACCAACATCTTTAATTGTGCTCAATAAAACTCATTTCAGACTTCTAGCCCCCAGGACTGTGAAAGAAGAAATTTCTGTTGTTTAAGCCCCCAAGTTTGTGGTAATTTGTTAGAGCAGCCATAAGGAAACAATATAGGTGAAAAGAGTAAGCCATAGAGAGGTAAGTTAATTTTCCCAAGGTACATAGATAGTTAATAGTAGAACAAGGCCTTGATCCTACACAGTCTGTACTTTCAGCTGTGTCTATGATGCAGGGGTACTTTCTCACATTATCAGATGTCTTCTCCTCTGATCCTCTGACTATTCCTCAGACCATGAAGGGAGCTAACTCTTTTTTCCTCAGTTGTTTCCAGAAAATACCACCACACTCAAATTAACAAGAACATTTTCACATATCAAAATATCTCCAGAGTTTTTAGTGGAGACAAGAGCCCCAAATGTTCAATACTCAAGTGATACCCTCTAGTATCCATAGATATGAAACCCATATATCTGAAAATCTGTCTGTATATCCTTTAATGGTTCTCTAATCACTGTAGTTTATTGTAGGTTGGGTATCCCTATTCCAAAATCTGAACTTTGAAGAACTCCATATTTGAAACATTTTGAATTTCAGTTAAATATTGAAGCACAGTTTTAAAATTTTACACCTGATTTTCATCTAAGGGGTACAAAGTGCAGGTACAATAAAATGTATAAAATTACTGTCAGATTATATGCGCAAGGTGTCTATAAAACACAGATGAATGGGTCTTGAGACCTATCCCCCAAATATCTCATTATTTACATGCAAATATTCTAAAAATCCCCAAAATATGAAATCTGAAATACTGTTGTCCCAAGCATTTGGCTAAGGGTTACTTAATCTGTATTTCTGAAGTCTCAACTATGAAGGATTAAGTTCATAATTTTTTGTCATAAATAATATATTGAATTGAGTGCATAAGGAACCTGGTTCTTGACTTCCAAATGAACAAAAGAATTACAAACACCATAGGAAGCAGAGAGAGATGGACTGATGCTACAGAGGGGGAGGTTGGCATCCGGCTCAGGGTGCTACACAGTATGGCAGCTGTGAAGGCAGGACCACAGTTAGTTTGTGTTGATTCCCCAGCTCCACCATCTGAGTAAGCAGCACGGTCATTCATGCCAATGAGCCATGTTGGAGCAGTCACTGCACATAGCCTTTGCTGAGAGGCACAGAGGCTGCCTGTCCATTGTTCAGTCCAAAAGAAGATATATATTCTGAGGCCCCTTTGGAAACAGTTTCCACCTTAGTGGCCTAGGGCATACCTGGGTACCTAAAACTGAGATTGGAACTTTGACAAGTTTGAGAAAGCTGGTAGGAAATGGAAAACCCTTCAACTTATAAATAGCTGAAGCTAAAAATAACCAGCATATAGATCTCTGAACAAGGGCGGAGGGGAAGCCTGGCTCCTAAACTCCATCGTATATGGTAGGTGAAATTTAGGTCACGATTATTCTCAGCACATGTTAGTGGGCGAAGGTGCTTTTCGATTTTTCTCAGCCCCAAGAATTCAAAATGCTAGAACATAGTTCAAAACACAGAACTATGTTTCCAGTTATATCAATAATAAAAGATTTGACATACTTGTTATAAAATATGTCATTGGCTTGCTATTTAGTTACCTTCACCGTAACAGTGCTCTATTGACGATAAAACATTTTATGTCATTTTTGGGGATTGTTGATTTGCTGCATGTGCTGCAGTTACCCTGTGAAGAAAATATATAGAAGAATAATTGTTTTAGCTAGTGAATTCAGCTTAGCACAAGGCAGTTTACCTGCAGGCAAACTTCAAGATGCAAACTGATAGCTTTGCTTCATGATCATCAGATTTAATGTCTTACATTTAGTTTTGATCACTACAGAAACACTACATATCATTTCTATTTTAATAGAATGCATTTGGTTCAGGATGAATTACCATGATCTCAAAATTCATAGAAATTTTATGCTTTAAGCATTCGTATCTAGTGACCTTTTCCATTGCAGAATATATACTTTTTCAATGTGACTTTGACTAAAATTTATATTATACCAATAAAACATGTTATTTTATGCACATATTTGTTACATTCAAAGTTTATTATCGTAATTATTACCTAATTACTGGACACATAGCTATTTATATAATCTAATGTACTTTGCAATGGGTACATGTAAATTTCAATGCAGATATCAAATTATACTTAAAGCATAGAATTGTACTTAAAGTTCAAAGTTTTTAAGCTTGCTATGAAATTTTAACTTTGTTTTTTATTTCACCCCTTTCATTCTAGACTTAGAAATTATGAAAAGTATAACATATCACAACTCAATTTCCCATGCAAGGCATGCCAGATGAAAAGCAATATGGAAAACTACAAGAATTTTTATCTAAACAAATCATTTATTGCATTAAAAATTTGTTATACATCAAAGTCTGTAGTTTTAAAATGCATGGCTTAACACCAAACCATGTCAAAACAAAACAATCTTAAAAAGAATTTTGATTAGTTCAGATGGCATTATGGCATTTCTTATTCACTTCCTAAAATTAGAATATTATGTGATGATTTAAGAACACCATGGTCAAAACATTGACAACTGGTGTCTTTGCTATTATTTTCAGATTCTGAAAACATAGAAAATGGTGTTCAAATTTATGTACATGTATGTGAAGGGTGGTAGAATATGCTACCTCAAAATATGCCACTTTCGCATAAGGACTATTTTGAGCTGAAGACAAGAGATTATTCTCTCTGCTTTTCCCCCTCTTTGATGAAAAACAAATTATAATTCTACAAAGGTGATTCTTCTTCCATCTGTCCCAGGAAAGGCAAAAATTGAGGTCCACAGATGACTTTATTCTCTTTTTCAGACTGGAGACTGCACCAGAGGAACCTATGTGCCAACCTTACTAACCATCCTTTATCTACTAGTAGTTTCTCATACCTGGCCTTCTCCACACTGTTCTTGCTTTGGTTTTAGATGAAGATGATATTTAAGCACAAATTCTAAGCCATTTCTATAAAAACTAATCATTCTGTGGGTTATGGCCTATGGAGGTATGAAATATGTAAGTTAATGAACTTCTGTTTGATTTTCTCTTGTTAATCTTTCTTTTGTTATAAAGATTCTGGCTAAGAACAAAAAAGGTTCGAAATAAAATTACTCCCTCACCTTACATATCTGATTTCTAAACAGCAGTTTATAAAACAACGAGGGAGAAAGAAGAGAAACTAGAAGATGAAACCAAGCAGGAGGGTGTTGGACACATAGGTGTAGCTGGAGAGAAAGAACATTTATGGGGGTAAGGAGAGGATTTGGGAAGATCAGGAGTCCAACTATGATAAGCGATAAGGAAGCAGGATGGTGGCTTCAAGGGTGGGCCAGTATGTGGATTACCAGATATAAGCTGTATCTTTTTATACTCACAAGATTTTGTCTTAAATTTGTTATTTGCTGCTTTTCCTATTCAAGTAAATATCAAATGTTCTTTCATCTCATTATTGTAAATTCTAAAGATGATTCCCATTTCTTGGAATGCATGAATGGCAAATGATTTCAAAACCCCCTGGAACATTGCTCACTAATAGCTGCCCACATGTTATTCACAGCACATAACAGCATGAGAACCATGTCTCATGCCCAGAATGTCAATGTTCACTCATTTATTCTGCACTATTATACAATTTCCCATTAATCCAGAAATTAGACTCTCTCTTCTTTGTTGTTTCAGTTATCTGCTATTTTGGTATGTGTTTAACTTTCAGTAATCCTGTTCCTAGATCATACTCTCAAGTGCTAATCTTCAATTTTTCTTCTCCTTCACGTCAGCTCAAAGGAGTTTTTATGTAGCTGCTACTTTCTTTGTCTTTTCACTTTCTTTCATCAGAAATGAACCTATTTGGAATTGAAAAATGATTTTTCCGAAAAGTCTACCTGTACTTCAACTAGAATGTGCTTAATTTCAGGATTATC